AAGTTGATCTGCCGTCTGCTTCGTCAGAAAATGTCACTCCTCTAAACAAATTGACCTTGACATGTAATCAGCTTGTAAGCTTACTCATTGTTTGTCGTGCTTATTGGCTTTTTATGGCTGACAGAGGTAGTCACGTTCTTTCTGATGCTACAGGTAAATTGGGTTATTTCACCAGATGAGAAAAAATACTTTCTTAAATCACTTAAAACTTGTGTGTAACTAGGAGCGAAGGAAGTTAGTAGCAAAAAAAAACATACGGTTTTCAGCCGTATAACCCAAATATGGAAAACTGATAAAACCAAGAAGAACCTGATCCTTTTTATTCACACCAGAGCTAGCTCCCTCTTTTTACAGTTGAAATAAGCTGGAGTGAAATTTGTATTCAGAAGGGAAACGGTAGGCATGAAAAAGTGGAGAGGGGAAGGAAAGTTCTATCCATCGAACAGTGATTGGAAAAGAAAGTAAAAGCGCTGACGTCGACTAGTTTTTTAATCCGATCGGCAGCCCTTCTATAGCTTGTATAAACAGCAAAGACGGCATAGTATACTTTGCCCTGGTGGCCAAGTCATGTCACCAATTGGAAAGACGGCATCGAATGACAGGTGGCAAAACCCTGATTAATTTCGGTTCGAAAAGGAGCTTACGAACCATCTGTTAGACCTCGTCTTTGGCCCACATGCGCCGTCTACGAACACAGGTTTGCAGTCCTGGCCACAGGTGGTGTTTGGGGTTAGGATTAGCTGAATGAGGGCAGGATAAGCCCGGATCTAGCCATATTCTCTGTCGTCTCGCCTCTTTAGCACCTACGGGAGCTGCTAAAAGTTTAGATAGCAAATCTTAAACGACGGGGTATTAATTAGTCTACAGATGTTGTCGCCCAGGATCCATACAGTATGCGTTATAAGGATCCTTGTATGTGGCCTCCATTGGGATCCGGTAGGCCAGGCTAGTAACGACAAACGAGGCATATGTGGCCTTTCTGGTCACATAGGAATTTTCAGTGTAATCGCACATACTCAAACAGGTTTCACTCAGGACCTTTGGCGTAGCCCTTTATTAAGACGATTCTATGTCACAACAAGAACGCTAGAGTTTGCAGAATCACCGAGAACTAGAGTCTGTTAGTCCAGATTACCAGAAAACCCGACGTTTCTTGCTGATACACGAGAAAGTACGAGTTTATGGCTAGAGCTACAAGTGAACAAACTCGATAATCAAGGCAGGAGCTTTTCAATGGACTCTATCAGTCACCAAACTCAGGGCCACGGAAGAAAAAAATCGAATAGCTATTCTAGCTGCCATCTGCCGAAATATTTGTGGTAGCCTCTAAACCAAATTTTAAAGAATAGGATTCAAATGCAGAACTTCCATAAATAACTACAGTGGAAACCCGGTTAACGAGTTTATACCGTTCCGGCACTGAGCTCGTCATGTGAAACACTCGTCTTGCGAAACGTAGCCAATCAAACAGCATCAGTTCAATGATTGGCTAAAGGCGACCGAGGACCCACATTCTGGGAGCAAGACTCAACGGCGGACATAGGCACACACGACAGTTCGACAGTTCCCCCGTCGATTTCGATGATGGACACCGCGTGCTCTGCGAACGCCTCGTTCATTACCTGAGATGCTCGCTGATGGAGCTGCTCATCACCCGAAGGTCCACTGTATAATGAATGACAAGGAAAGACGCTGATAATCCTGTTGCGCTTCACTGAACAAAACACGGTCATACTTTGAAGTTTTATGGGGCCGAAATCCCACGGGATTTAACGACAGCGTGAAAAACGAGCTGTTTGAGTCATAGTTAAGTTCATTTCATTTCAGTCCAGTCCAGTTTATTTAAAAAGAATGTAGGCATGTGCTTTTTAACTCCTAACGAGTTTACACGCACGTTGTGATATCAAATAGTTAACAAAATGTATCATTAAATGCAGGCGAATGAGGCAAATCTGTCCGGACACATGAAATAGACTAGTTAGACAAAATCTTATTGTGAAAGAGCAAAATTATACAACTGTTACTTTGGGGCTTATACCTCAGCTTATTGGCGATGCAAAATGACAAGAGCCAGTAAGGTGGAACAAAAGCAAAAAAGAGCAGACAGTGAAAAAACTCCTCGGGCGTTTTTCGGAAAGTATCGGCGTTCTATAACCCATAGTACTTTGACAAACAAAGTGTTTTCTTCCTTCCATTGTGAGCACTCACACATCTTCTACACAGGGTCATTAGGTGCTCAGAGTGCACGTTGACGAACACTGGTTCCAATGGCAGAACTTGAGGCCACACTATTCAGTCCCTACAACTCCAGTCTTCAAGACCGGTGATTAAATTGTAGCCATCAATGACTCGATGAGAAGAAGTAGAAGATGCGACCGCTGGAACAATAATTTTATTTCTCCTCAGATTCTGGCTTAAACCCATTGTCGGAGATAACCGCAGGCACAAAGTATTTATAGTCCGTAGCGGCCACTCGACCACATTCGTACTAAAATTAGCAGCCTTCGTGACCATCGCTTGGGGTTGTGATTGATGCGATGATGGCTTGGCCGTCCACGTCCGAGTCATTTGTTGCCGTGTTGGCTATTAGCACGATAATCACGCGACAATTATGGGGATTCTCATCGAGATTGTTGACGCCCCGCGCCCTCCCCACGTGCTTGATTTTCCTACTCAGACAAAGTTTCAGTACGGAATGTGAAAACGGCAAGTCATTCCGCTTGTTGTTCTCCTTTTCATCGCTGGAGGTTTCACGTGATGCGATGATGGCTCGGCAGTCCGCATCCGAGCCAT